AAGCCCCATGTGATGTACATTTTACATGTAAGAGGCTTGGTGACACTTTCTGCAATACAATTGTAAATGTTCTCTGAAATGCTGGATGGATTTCAAATGCTGAGAGAGTACATGTACCGTACATGTACATACAGTGTATGGTTTATGGAATAGCTCATTTGAAGCTTAAGTACATGTAACAAAACATTAGAAATGCAAGAGATTCTCCACACAGTTTCTCCTTTGTTTTCCTGTGAAAGCAGATTGTTTTATACAGGTTTGTTCTGCCATTTTTTCAGTTGACTTCCACTACCCGACAAAGGCGAGGAAGTACGGTACATGTACATGTATATAAGAAGTGATATTCATGAATATTAATAATTGGTAGTGTCAGGATTTCTGCAAATAGATAAAATGTTTTATTTTTGAAGCAGTGCATCAAACACATGTCGGTAATTTTGTAATTGGCTCTGCCCATGCCATCACTTTTGAGAACTCCCTACGTGACTCTCACTCTTACTCTGCTTGTAATAGCCGTGCACCTGTGCCTTTCATGTTGCACACCATTGCACATTAACGGGAACACAGATTGCACGTTACATGTACATGTACCCGTACATGTATTTGTGAAGTGTATTAACCACAATTTCCCAGTCGGTTTTGCTTGGAACGTACATGTACATGTAATCCTCCAAACTCCTCCAGTACAGGAAACCACTGTTCACCCTCTTTGCACAAATTTAGACTTTCAAGAGGTTTCTTCTTCTGGAGTCGGAACCATAAGTCTACACTTTTCCTATCATACCGGGTAGGAGTGTTCACGTCCCTGTCAGGTTTTCTTACATCTACATGTACCAGCAATTCCTTCTTCCACAGAACCCTATGTACATGTACATGTAGTGATATGCTAAGTTGTTTCTGCAGTCATCGCCTCTGACTTTCAGGAGTTGTCAAGTCCCATATAGCATAACAGTGGAGCATCCTTGCCCTTCTGCGAAATCCTCCATAACCTAGTGGATTTTGATGGATTGGGTGGGTTAGGGTTAAATTTTTTTATAAATTTCAAACCCTGTTCTAATATCTACACGTGTAGTATATGCCGGTAAATGACCTTGGATACATGTTAGCATGGCTCATGTGACCTTGGCAGACTTTTCTTTTAATAACGGTAATACTGTTTTCTGATCCACAGTCTTTCATGTATCTCATTTCCTCTGATTCGCGCCATCTTGTCAAAACTTGTTATTAAATTATGCTTCTTGCAACCTCTCACTAATTTGGGTCCTCAGGAAAATGTCAAGGATTGATAAGTCAAATTGGATTCTGCAGCAGTTACATGTAAGACTTCTAACTTTTCAGAGGCACTTGTCTGCACGTTGCATTCAAAAATTAGATTTAAGAGCTCATGTATTGCAGATCTTATCAATTCAATGCGCAGTCGTCCAGTGGCGACATTGCAGTGAGAATTTTGTTTTGTAAATACCGATGAGTCAGAAACTATGTACAGTAGATCTGAAATCAGCCTTTCCCAAAAAAGATATGCACTGTAGTACCGTACATGTACATGTATGTACAGGTTTACCATTAACACATTTCTCGTCATGGATCATGGAAAATTCATAGTGGAATTTAGTATTGTTACACACCGGTAAGACATGTTCATGTATGTGTATTGTACCATAGGTACATGTATATACATGTATACATGTATGTCAGTACATGTACAATGGTTTAATGTTTCATCCGTCCACCGCGCCAGATTTAATTTGCTGTAGTTGTCAGCAACATCCTGAACAAGGTTTTTGGGTGTTGGGTTGTTTGGAAGAAGTAAAATGGCAGAATGTGCAGATTCTGTTTGCATTAATACAGCGTTTACAGAAATGAGTATGGCACCGTAAAAGAGACCAGACATTTGCATATGTGGACATGTACTGACAGTGTATTCCCAATGGTTATAAAATTCTGTGAGAGTTTCAACATCCACAGATTCATGTAGTTTGTGAATAGGCATGCAAGCTGTAGTAAGAATGAATCAGTACAGTACTTGGTGTTCGTACAAAATTATTCCCATTTGCACTCAAAAACAACTACTGTATTAATTAAGAGGCCTGTCACTTCTGACACAGCATTATCACTCTCTGGTCTTATTCCAGTTTCATGTACATGTACATACATATGTACATACATGTACACATGTACATGCACATACATGTACATATGTACATGTACATGCACATACATATGTACATGTACATGTACATGCACATACATATGTACATGTACATGCACATACATGTACATATGTACATGTACATGCACATACATATGTACATGTACATGCACATACATGTACATATGTACATGTACATGCACATACACATACATATGTACATGTACATGCACATACATATGTACATGTACATGCACATACATATGTACATGTACATGCACAAGGTCCACACAGCCACTGACAGCATTGACCAGTGATGAAGAACTGTTTGGGGAGTGCTCAAGGCATGGGGTCAAGGCAGCTTACCAGTATACATGTATATGGAGGTTTACTTACATGTACATGTATGTATATGAACTGGTACAAATTTACATGGTTTTTTGTAAGTTGTACATTTACTGGTAGGCCGACAGGCTGATATACAGGTAGGTGTATTGCACCAGGTGCACGTGGCTGTCTTTGTCTCAGTCCATTTCCAATTCCTGGCTGGCCAAATAAAATGTGACAAAACCCAAGTACCAGTACCAGACCTACATGTACTGGTACATGCACTGGTACATTGTGTGTACATGTTCATACACATGTACTGTACATGTATTGGTTCATTGCACTGTGCTGGTATTGAGACCTTCACCAGTGTGTTCCCAAGCAGATAATAGTAAACACCTGTTATTGTTTCTCACAAACATCCACCAGCAGCCAAATAAGGGTTTGTTGCAGTGGCCAAGACCATAAAGACTGAATTCTGCTGTCCTAGCAGTATACCAGTAGTAGTGAATGTACAGTACATACAGTGTATGTACAATATAATGTGTACAGTAACTCACAACTTATAGTCAGTATTCAAGTGAGAGATAGTTCTAGTGTATTCAGGGATGTAAGGTACAGCTTACTAAATTACATTCCAGAATGTCAGGGAAGTGGTAGGCGAACGTTGTCAACAATGTACATGTACGTACAGTATCCTGCAATACCATGGCCAACATGTACATGTACTTGTATCATTTCTCAAAGTGAGATTTTCTTCATTGACTTTGACAGACCTGTCCATTTTACTGTACATACATCTTGACAAATCCAGGCTTTATGGGTTGTGGCAAGTGGTGCATGTACATGTATAGTGCATGTGTAGGTCATGGTTTGTGACATGAGGAGAATTCAAATTTAGAGTCTCAGGAATCTCACCCCATGACATGAGACTAGAACTGAGTTTTCCAAGTCACAGTTACAATGTAATTCCATTTTGAATAAAATGTATTTCAAATGATCATACTGTACAGGTACCGGCACAAGTACCGGTAAGTAACAGTTCTTCAAGCACAAACAGAAAATATGCACTTTTGCACATGGTCTGGAACACTTGCTCAAGTGCAGTGTACATGTACCGGTATGTTTTCCTAGCGTATATATGTCTTCCTGTTTTGGCACTAATTCCAGAATACGTGCATCGGTATGTACTACGTGTACCGTACATGTGACTTCCCGTCTTTCCTTACTTTTGGAAGAAGATTTTGTTGACATGGTTGAGGGGCTACCAGTAGGCGTTTGTGGTGTGATCAACTGTCCTCTGACCCACCTCTAACAAAAAAAAAACAGTTTGCAGGGGAGGTATAAATTTACAGAGCTCAAGTGACTGAAAACCTATTGTCTATTTCTTGGTTTTGTTATCAAATTTATGGGCCCAGCATTTGTACTACTGATCAGTCCTGATTCCCCAAGCAATTAAATGGTTCCTGTTCTGGTCTTTGTCAAGGATTTGTGTACACCTGTGCCCCTATCAGTCATCCAATCAGTGTGTCAACAGGGCTAGGATACTGATTAATCAGCCTAATCAATTTATCAGGTGTAATGAATCCACCTGTCAACCAATTTGGAGGGTTGAATCACCACAGATATACATGTACATGTACTGTTATACATTTACATACATATGTACATGTACGTGTAACACTTCTGGCACACTTATGCTGAATGGTGCCATAAAAACTGTTTGCGTCCACACTATGAAATATACTGTACCCTTTTTCTGAGCTCTGCCTGCTCGTTGCACCATGCAGGATGCCACCATAGTGGGTCTGGGCAGGAGAAGCTTGCAAGGGCGCTCCTTTTCTGCATGGGGCAAAAGCCGACCCAGGCCCTTTTCCCCTGGTAACAATCATGCAACATGAACAAATGGAATAGCTCACCATGGAGTTGACACTCCCCTCGATCCAAAACCACTGAAAGCTGTGTCAGTGAAACAACTGTACTGTAGAATTTAAATTCAAAGTGTACATTTGCATGTCCCAGTACCACCAAAAGCTGTTCTGGTATAAGTACATGTACATGCATTGTACATGTACTTGTAATATGGTCATGTCCAAAAGTTGTGGCTACTGCTGCAAATACATGTAACACATGCCCTAATGGAAGCCACAGGCTATGCATGTGTCACTTTCCTACACTGTATGTGCTTGCCATAGACAGTTGACTTGGAGACGCATATCATGCCCATTCTGCTCAGGTATGCTGTTTCCTACCGTGTGGCATTTGTTTGATTTCTCATGTTTACTGCATGCATTTTTTTGAGTAGAGGGTTTCTTTTTTTTCAGTACTTGAGTTCTTCAGTTTTTGTCAGCCAGCTTTCTGTAAAGGCTAAACACGTGTATCCATGTTATCCTATTTGTTGCCTTCTTATGTTTGCACGCTGTGACAGCGCATTTTGGCTGTTGAAAAACCTTGTCACGCAAACAGCAAAAATTCACCGTGTGTTTGTACGGCCTTATTTTTACTGATTTCCTGATGTCTCCAGCCAACAGATGAGATATGCACATGTGGTCTTGAACTGTAAAGCGAGGAGAACACTACTGGTACATGTTGATGCTCATTGAACAATTCTCTTCAGCAAAGTGCCTAGACGAGCAGCGTACATGTACATGTAGGTCAGCGTGACTGCCAGTACCATGCACTTGGATTCCCCGGGCCAGTGAATAATCGAGCAGATGGGAGGATTCTAGCTGGCCAACTTCAGTGTCGTTCAACTCAAGTCAGGTGCAAGCATTCGGGTACCTTGTCTTTTTGGACCCTGGATTCTAGGTACATGTACATGTAATCTGGACACAGCCTCAGTACCGTACATCTCTCAGTAGATACCGGTACAGGTGCTCGTACATGTACATGTACATGTATACGTGTATGTACACTGTACATGTACATGCATATGAGGAGCCTGAGAAATAAGGCTGAAGCTGTGTTTGAATTTCTTGACTGCGGCTTGAATTATCACACACGACCCTATGGGGAGTGGCTGCAGCTCCTACATGTACCATAGACCCGTGTGCAGCGCTAGCCTGCATGTACAGGTACATGTACCGGTATATTGTAAGCTACAGCGGTCGATTTACGTATTCAAATATCCATGTGTTCAAGAGTAGTTGCTGGATTCCATGTGTAACAGAGCTGCGATATGTACATTACACTGTGCATTATTTGGATATCCAATTTTCCTCTGAAAATGATGCACGGACATGTACAGATGTTCTTCTGTTTCATTATCTAAGACCATGTAAAAAGCGTAATGCAGCTGTGAAGTAAGAGAAAACAAATCACGTGGTGGTAAAATGGTTGAAATACCGGTACATGTTGTCTGGGTCCAAATTTGTTTGGCTGCTGCTTGAAATTGCAGACAAGTCTACAGTATGGCAGTTTCTGCAGCCAGTTCCCGTTGAGTATTAAAGCAACGACTAAGTAATTTGTATTTGGCTGTACCCATAGTCTCAGGCTTAAATTTCTGACAGCAATCACAGCCTTGGAGGAACCGGGGTACTTGACCCATAGGAAATGAGTACATGTACCAGTACTTGGCCCAGTCGCAGCAAAAATCTGCATTTTGTTAGCAAAGATCCCTTCCATATACACATGTACATGTACCAGTACTTGAGAGTGAGTTTCATGTAATTCAGATTGTGAGGAAGGCAGCATTGTTAAGGAGCATCAGCAAATGGTTTGATTTCGGACACCTTGAGGACATCGCATGTTCCTGCAGTGTAGGATATCAAGTCAGTCTTTCTTTCGGGGAGAGGTTGTGGCCTGTCTCTGTAGGAAATTGTGACAACTTGATATTTATGAAAACCTGAGGGTATTGAGAACATGTACTGGTACATGTTCAGGTAACGTAATTTTGTTCAAGCGTTAAACATTTCAGGTCCTGTGGCAAAGTGGATTTTTATGTAAATGGAACCAATTCTATGTCACACACATTGTTAACGTGTGTGAGTGCCAAGTGTCATGTCTGCATTTTTTTTGGCTTTGAATTTGGAAGATCATGCAGATGACGAGATAGACATTCATGTCCATGACTGTCCAGAGAAAAGTGAAAGCAGTCCTTCAGTTTCCTTAATGATTTTGGCGAAACACAAGATCTTTATTGGAATCCCATGTGAGAAACTTTCCCCTGAAATTTTGTCCCTTGGTTTTCCCTCATTGGTAAAGATCTGGTGTAAATCTCCTGTGGGTATTAAGACATTTCCTTTCACAAGTAGAGAAGTGGCACTATAGCTGGGCCACTAGGCCATCAAGTACTTGTGTTAAAGAGGACAGGCTCCCTTTGCACACGTGCATAATTTGCCAGCCTTGGGCTGTTGGATGAATAAGTTGATGTCTCTGAATTTTGTTCAGAAAGTCAGGAAAGAGTTGTCAAGAATGGGCACTGGGTGCACATACATGTACATGTACATGTACCTAATAAATACATACGGTGTACATGTATGTGTGCACTGTATGTACATTTTGTACATCTTAAACTGCAAGTTACAGGAAAGCTTTTGAACTTGAAGCAGACATTGTATGATTAACATCTGTCTGTTCACCTTCATGTACACTGTACAGTGTACGTACATGTGCATCCAGTATGATTTCTGTGAGAAATCATTTTGGTTTTGGTACATTTTTAGAAAGTTTTTCATTTAAAAACCAACATTGCAAATATACTTACAATTTATACATGTAGCTTCATAATTGCCACTTTAAAACTATATCAGGTGTTCAGTAAATTCTAAATTTCAGTTAATGATCAGTTTGGATATGCAATCTCTCAGTCACACCGGGACAGGAAAATTGAGGTTTTCCGCTTTCATAATTTGATACTTTGATTATACATGTACATGTATTGTCATATTAATTAGTTGACACAGTAAAGGTAACTACCGGTAAACGGAAATAAGAAACTGTGCTTACACACTATCTGTTTAAAACGAATTTGACTAGTACATGTAATTTTGAAACGCACTGTACAGGGATACATGCACCCCCGGTACATTCACTCTTCCATACAATAACCCAGTGAAATACATACTATACATGTGCATTGCATGTCGTGCTTTTATGTGATGTCCTGCATGTGTGTTACATACAGAGCTTGGATCCATCTGCAGCACAGTGAACTGTCCTGTCACATGCATGAATCAAATATTCATGTCTTCACACACATGCAGCATATACCAGCAGACGTTAATAATGTGTAATGAAAAACCAGCCATGTGTGTTGACACTGGGCCACAGTGTGTGCCCACAGGGGTGTGACACATCACAAAGCCAATCATTATTGGCCGGCATAAGAGGGGAACTAATTAGATATTGTGAACAGCCAGGCAGTTTTCTGACCACATCTGGTGGTATTAGGGCTGAGCGGTTGGCACAGTATTGCTTGCAACACACAGTGATCATGGTACAAATTGCTGTCAGTACATGTACTTGTACCTGGTACATGTAGATGGATGGTCATCCACTATTATTTCTAGCACGTCCACAGCTCTGGGTGAGTCAAACTTGATGCTCACACGTATGTTACAGCTTCGCATGTTTATTTATTTTGACTTAAAGACTTGATCAGCGTAAAAACAATCAAGAAAGTGTCACGGTGCCAGGCACAAGTGTACACATGTGTACATTTGTAGTGTGCAAAGTTTGTGTTAGTATCATGTGAAAGATCTCTTTTGTAACTCAAGGGATTAAGGGTTTCACCCTAAAAAAAATCAACAGTTGACATACCAGTAGCACATCCGGCCCCGTCACATCAGAAATACGGTATCAATGCATTACAACGATGGAAGACACTGGTACATGTGCATCAGCAGTGAGGAAAACCGGAATACAGAATACGAACACCAGATAAATAGTGTTAATTTGGGAAGTTTGTTCATTTTACCATTGAAACACTATGGGGGGTTTAACATGTTTAACTTTCTGAGGTAGATATTCATTGTACCATAGGCCTACTGGTATGTTGGACATACTGGAATTCTGTTTCCATGAAAATATTTCACGAATAAAGAACAGGCAGCCTGTTTACATACATGTACCGGTACATGTAGATGTACGGTATGTGAATTGGGCAGGAATCCTGGCATGCATGCCTGGAAAACAGCAAAAATACGGTGGCAACTGGTACTTGATAAATGGTTCATTATGTTTGAGGTACTGGGTCTGTCCACCGTAGCAACTGGTATACTGTACTTGATAAATGGTCCATTGAGAGTTCTCAATTATGGACATTTGCACATAACCAAAATCATCTCTTTCTTTAACAGTGTTGAGAGTCAAGTGTAATGAACTTCAACAATTTTACTGATATTTGTATAATTATGGAGATATACGGTCTACAGTTTACACAGTTTAATAGGATTTGGTTGTTCTTTGTTAAAATAATCAGGATCTTGATGAAAATGTCCAGCTTTTATCAGGGGTTCCAGTGGGACATGCACATACATGTACATGTTACTGTCAACTCATGTTTTTCAGGTAATCTAAAATACCACTCTTACAGAGAAAAGCAATTTATCTGTTAAAACATGGGTACTACAGGTATAACATTTGAGAAATGTGTCAAACTCTATGGCTTTTTATTCTTTAAAGTTATCTTAAACTGGAATTTAAGGAGAGCTACATGTATTTAAGGAATAACGTACATCACGGTGTCTGTCCACAGAGTGACAAACATGAAACAGGATGATTTTGCCATTCCTTGAGCAGATAACCTGAACACAAACATACACATGTACCGGTACATGTACTGTACATGTACATGTATCTTCCTGAGAAACGTTTTTACAATAATAGTTAACATCATATTAGTTTTGTCATATCAGATGACAAAACTGAAATTTGATTGTAGGAATTGCAAATGTCTGTCCTCTATTTAACGTTTGTCACAACCATTTTTTTGTAAAAATCTCAGAAGACTTACCGGTATCTTATGAGTACATGAACATTTATTACAAAACCAAATTAAATAAAATAACGAACAACGCATTAGAAAAAAGTCGGTTCATTTGGCTGAAATGAAATGACATTTTCATGTTTGTTTGCGTTTGCTTTTTCCCTACACATGCAACAGGCTACACATTTTTGGCACAGTATCAGTGTCTCATTAAGCCACCTGCCCACCATTTCTAACGAGATGCAGAAACAATTTTGCTTTGACAGGCAGTTTTGCCTGTATACTGGGTAAATTAAACAAACCTCCCTGTTTTGCATACATGTACATGTGCATTTTTTTCCTTAGCAGTTAAATTTCCTGCCAAAAATATTATCAGTACATGCCAGGGAAATTTATAGCCACAGATGTCTCACCAAGGGAAATCAGATTCAGCAATTTTGCTGGAAGCGAATGGGCAGTTTTAAACCATTTTCCAGGGAGGGGCAGAATTGCAGATACATGTACTGTACATGTATGTACATGTACATGTACTGTACATGTACAAAATTGTACATGTACATGGACCATATGTAAGTAGATGAAACTCTGGGCATCGTGTGCTACTGGTACATGTTTCAGGGCTGCTGACTCATTCGGCCTGTCCTTTCCAACATGTGGCCCATGGAAAGTTTCATCCTCTGGCTGGTGTCATCATAAACACTGCTGGTTGGATTGCCCATTGCCTGTGTGTCCATAGACTGGCTGAGTTTTTGCAGTTTAATTAAACCAGGGTATGTTTATGAGTTGTGGGTTGGAGACCACAAGAATCTTGCCAGGAAATTGTTGGGATTGCAAGGCCGGAAGCGAAACCAGCAAATAAGGAACATTGTACATGTACATACATGTCGTGTTTATGAGCCACAGGTTATCAGAACAGGCCACTGGGGCTCTTTGCGTTAGCAACATAACCTGCAAGTTACTCCTAATGCAAGTAGGGCATTGGAGGCTTTGCAAAAAATCTCACACTTTCGTTTCGTTTATCATCCGTTTGTGCCATGAAACAAAAGTTTTGCTCGTACTTTTGTATGGTAAAAGAACTAACTTATTTCATTGTTTCAAATTTGACAGTTTATCAAGTATTAACAATTTGTTCTTTGAGTTTGGCACACTTTTGGGGGAAAAATACCTGATAATGTAGAAATCTACACAATCTAAGGTGAGTGATGGATTGTACAGTACAGTAGGCCTACTGAGTTACCCTTCCTCCATGTCTCTTGCTGTACATGTAAGATACACGTACAGTACATGCACAGTGTATACTGTACAGGTATGTGTACATGGCTGATCATCAAAATACACATTTACCGGTATGTACTTAACTAGACTTCATGAAAAGAAAAGAGATAAAAAGCACATTGGTAGAAATTGTGAAACAATTTGAGCCTCTCGTCTAAAGAAAAATCGAATCAAACTCAAAATGGAAAATGCTGAGTATATGTACATGTATGTATTTACAGAGAGCTTCCAAGAATTCCAAGAACTGGAGAAAAAAATATTTTCGGTCAAAGTGCTGTTTGGTGTACATGTACATGTACCTACAGAACATGTGGAGTCTGACATCCGTCCCGGCTTGGGAGGACATTGGATACCACAGTTCTGGGGGTAAGTTTGGTGCACATGTACATGTACATGTATGTGGTTCACCCTTTATTAGAGTGTTGTCAAAAGCTTTATCGAAGTGCCTGATTGATGCGTGTATACAAGTAGTTGCTAAGGGGCATGCATGTCTTTTTTAATGGGTTTGGACATCCATGTAGATCGTACAAACATGTACCAGTACATGTACTTGTATGTAGTCAGTTGGCTACGGTACATGGAGGGTCTGTTTCCTGATCCAGGGTCAGGCACCGGTCTGCTGGCTGTTTGGTATCACTGCGGAACCTGCCCAAATGAACAGGAAAAGAAGGGGAGGTGTGTTTATTTAACAAATGGATGCACTTAGGAAGGAGTCCAAAAGATGGGAGTGTTTGGCAGGAGTGGAGATTTGGATGAGAGTCTGGTTTTGATTGTGGTCACAAACTGATGGGTGAAACGACTCTGTCTGCCAGTACATCTCACTGTAGGCCTTTTGCTACATGAATTTGCCAAATGTTCTGAGCTGTGAAGTTGGTTTGCACAGGATGTTTGTGATGTTAGGGGGGTAAGTTAAGTACTTAAATTATATTTAGACTCAGTTATCCCATTTTATGATCTGTTGCAAGAACAATTGGCTTGTTGGTATTTTCCTGCTTAGACAGTATGCCAATACACACATGTACATGTACATGTGTAAGTACAACCTGTACATGTACATGTGGCTGGTATACTGATTACTGTACATGTACATGTACATGTATGTATATGTACATGTACGTGTACATGCACATGTAGGTCATCAATTGTTACCTCTTTTGCAAAAGCATGTACATGTAAATTCTTCTCCTGAATTAAATTCACAGTAGCTTGAAAACCAAATTTGTCCTGAAACACATTTGAAAATGGCAAAAAGAAGACTGAACATGAGTCAAGTGTAAATTGGTCATTACATAGTCCATTCCAGTTCTCAATCCCTAGAATGTACATGTACCAGTACGGTCCGGTACATTTATATACCAGAAAGCTTTGGGTAGGTCTTTTGGAGAGGAAGACACATGTACAGTACTTGACATTCACATACTCATTCATGTACAATGTATGCTCTGGTACACGTACACGTACAGTGTACATACAGAAGGCTTGAAGGCCCTTGAAAGTTCCAATTAATAACAGCACCGGTATGCCATTGCAGGATTTTGGAAGATTCAGGAATGCTTCCAGCAAAAAATATCAAGACAGTTCAGCTGGGAAGAAAATTGTAGTACCGTACCCGTACACGAACCAAGCACAGCAGGGTCCGTACTAGTACACACACTGTACATGTACCTTTACCTGTCGACTGAGGAATGACTGGACTTTTCAGAAATAAATTACCGGTATGTGAATGAGACTAAGCCTTGGAAAACAAATCCAAGATTTGAAAAACCAGATGTCGACACCACAGGATTGTGGGCCTAAATGTACATGTACCACGCACATGTGACAGCATTTCAGTTTTGAAGAACTAATTTGTTACCAGTGCAAAAACTCAAGTGGGCAAGCACATGTACCTGTATAAAGCTCAGGAGAGAAACATATTTTTTCCAGATGAAGAAAATTTGAATCAGATTGGGTCCTAACCTCCAACCTGTGAAATATTCTACTGATCCGCTACCATGTAGCAGCTGCGTTGGTACATGTATACTGTGGTACAGTTTTGATGATTTGTAATGGAAGTTTTATTTGCTTGCTACTCATTTCCTGTACATTTTATTATCCATCAAACCATGATTACTGTTAAAAAAACTTGACTTATGTTGTTAGAGAATATGGTAATTAGGTAATCCAGGAAATATTTTGGAGGATTTTTCATTCATGGAAACTATTGTGTTTCTTTTAGCAAGTAACTACATGTACTGTACATGTTAATTGAAAAGTTGTGCATAGATTTCAGGAAGGTTGTTTTGCTATTCGCAAAGGTCAGTGTTGTAATTTGTCAAGATCCACACAAGACCTCTAGTCTGAATTCAACTCTCAAGCTCTTCAAATGAAAAGCATGCATACAGTACACCTTCCTCACTGTGCCTCCTGTTACTTGTGATGGGTCAGTGTCTAGTCATGTTTTGGTCTCAGCTACATTGGCAAAGGGTATTTTGAGTACTGTTTCGACCCCTACAAATGTTTCATCAATAATGCCAGCCTGGGGTCTCAGGCTACTCATCATTGCTATAATTTCAGGGAAAATGCAGAGTGTCACAAAGCGAGTTTGTGTACTAGTAACCTCCGTGAAGGTGGTGGAGGCATTAAGAACTACCAGTAGACGCTTCCGACCAGGAACTTGCTTCATAGCTGAAAAGCAATGGGGCTGGTTGCATTTTGTAGCCAGAAGGCAAATACATGTACATCATACAAGAGGGACCCTTTGTCAAAAGGAAACCACTTTTTCAGGGTTGCAGCTGGCAAATTCTTAGTACAAGATACAAGCCAAAGTTTCAGCTAGACATTTTCGAACCACCTACTTTTTTTATGCAGTGCTGAAAAATATATAATTTTTATTCTTGCTGGCTGCTCACAATTAAACCAAAGTTTGTAAATATTAAATATTTGGCGACTGTGGTGACCAGCAACTTGAGAAAGTTTCCAGGAATTTCTTAGAAATGTATTAATTTTTTAACTTTGGTTTTCTTTTTAAATCAGGCTTTCACTGCTGAAATGTGACAGCCTTCAGTGAACACTTTCCCCAACCAAATTTTAGAATTTTCATTAGTACAGTGTTAAGACTTCACATTTTTCAGAAATTCTTGGAGATGCTGCTGCAGTTGAAATAATGGATTTACATTTTCTGTGGTTTTTACAGGCCTTTGGAGTGAAAGACATGCACTACACCAGTACCTGTGACTCTGCTCTTGTAAGGAATTGGCAATGCCCTTCAGCATCACACCAGACGCTGAAATTTATAGAGTGATTCATCACAGGATTCAGGCATCAAGACCTGTGGAGAATTCTAAATGAGCCCAACCAGAGCAGATTGATTTTCCCCAAGTCTTGAGGAATGTCGAGGATGAGATTTTCCACACGCGCGGGCCAGACCAACAACAAATTGTTGCAGTTTTGATCTTTACACTCAGGCTCCTCCCGGCTAAAGTTTGATGCACTTTCTGTTTATTTGCTCATGTTCCCCCCACATACGTCAATCAATCATCTCAAATGTAAACAGAAATAACAAATTATACTGGCTGTGGCTGCTGGTCTGACTAGCTTCTTGTGTAAAGGTTGCAGAGAATGAGCTGTTTGGTTGACTGAAAGCATTGCCACAGCTTTGTAGACATTTGTCTGCAGAGAAAGCATTGCCACAGCTTTGTAGACATTTGTCTGCAGAGCATGCAGTAAATTTTTCCAGCCTACAGACTGGTGTCTCATTTCATGTGAAAAAGACTTTTGTTGCATCAGCCGCAAGGTTTCTTCTGAGCTTAGAAATCTGCTTGGGATATTTTGAGGCATGGAGCTGCAGAATAGAGTGATTAGAGGGTCAAAATTGTCAACTGTGGCATTACATGTACTAGAAATTTTGGTCTGATCTGAGGAATTGACAAATCAATTCAGAGTTTCTGTTGATGGAAAATGTTGCACCTGCTAGTTCATGTAAATTAAATTGAAGCAGTCAAAATGAAAATGGACAAAGAAAGTCTGTTTTCTTTATCAACACGGCCAGTTCCAGTTCAAGGATTTCATTTAAGATGATGTACAATAATGTTGGAGCCTGAGCGTTGTAAGCAATGTGGTAACCAGTGATGGACTACCAGTTCCGGAAGGGATACAACGGGGGCACGGGCCAGTCGGTGCGGATGGCGTTCATCCGCTGGCTTCAGCGCAATGGCATCCTGATGCAACTGATCGTCCTGCTAATTGCGGTCTTGGTCCTCATCCCACTTGTCACACACTACTACCTTAGCAATGCTGAGCTGCCAGCTGGAGCCCGAGGAAGCCGCAGTCAGCCCCAGCAGCTCTCCCTTGAGGGCCTGCGGGCCCTAAAGCCCCAGGAGGTCAAGGCCCGGCTGGAAGAGCTGTACCGCATCCGCGGCTCGGTCCAGCAGGAACTGCGAGACCTGGAGGCCAAGCGTAAGGACATGCAGAACCAGATTGACCAGTACACCACCCTCATAGCCCAGAAGCAGAAGGAGACCGAAGAGTCGCAGGCTGCCCTGGACAAGGTCAACTTTGAGATCGTCCAGAAGCGCAAGAACTATGAGGAGGTGATCCAGCGCTCCATGCTCCACATTGGAGCCCCGAAGCAAATACTACCCCAACTGGAGGACAGTGGAGATGTGGAGCCGCCCCAAGCCAGCGCCCAGTGCCGGCAGCATAACTGCTTTGATTACTCTCGCTGCTCACTTACATCACACTTCCCAGTCTACATCTATGCCATGGAGGATGTCACACTCTCGAAGCAACCACTGGACGTGTTTGTCCAGACCAGTGTGGCCAGCGCCATGACCACCAACCCCCATGTGACATTTGACCCCAACATTGCCTGCATCTACCTGGTCCTGATCGGGGACACGGCCGACCACTGGCAGAGTGCCAGCAGCCTGGAGCTAGAGACTAGCCTCCGGAAGCTCCCATTGTGGAAGGGGGATGGCCGGAATCACGTTTTACTGAACCTTGCCCGGAACACCTCAGCCAGGAACGTGCTGTACGGCATGAACACAGACCGCGCGATGGTGGTGCAGGCAAACTTCGACGCGGCACAGTTCAGACCAGGCTTTGACATTGTTGTGCCAATGCTTCTGGGAAAAGAAACATCATTTAGCTGGAAAGAGACGCCACCATTACTTCCCGCTAAGAGAAAATACCTGCTGTCTTTCCAGGGAATCTTGTCCCCGTACGCCAGTAAACAGTCCAGTCACGGACATGCTGACATCGAAAACGTCATGATGAGTCGACGTTTGAAAGACTCCAATAGAACCAGAGTCAACTCTGTGAGTGATTTTATCCAAGAGGAACTCCATAAATTGAAATCCCTACAGGGGGATAATTTTTATTTTGATTTTAAGTGCCCACCGCTGAGCGCAGACCCTGCCAGCATCGATTTATCAGACTGGTGGGTTTGTAGGACTAAAGATAGACTAGATATTTTGAAACAGTCAACGTATGCATTAATTATTGGCCCAGATGAACACATAGTGTCTTCAACTATGATACAGGTGAGACTGTATGAGGCTTTAAAACACGGAGCAATTCCTGTAATCTTTGGGGAGCATGTGCAGCTCCCATTTGGGGAGTTTCTTCAGTGGAGGAAGGCTGCCATCATCTTACCAAAGGCGCGAGCGTCTGAGCTATATTTTTATTTGAAGACTATTCAGGACAATGACATTCTGCAGCTGCGCAGGCAAGGGTGGTTCATCTGGACAACATACCTGAGCTCCACCCGGGCCGTCTTAGACACGGTCCTGGCCACCCTGAGAACGAGGCTGAACATCCCTGCCAGCATCATGCGTGGCGAGCAGGCTGTTAGCCTCTTCCCCGGGGGTGCCCCACCAAAGCAGAAGCAGGTGCAGGGCATGATGCCCGAATCGGATGATTACTTCCCTCCACCTGAGATCCCCTTCCCTTCTCTGGCATACCTGCGCAACTTCACCTACAGCACAGTTGACCGCGACATCACATGGAACTCGGCACCGGGGCCCTTCCGCCTCTTCCCCCACACGCCCTTTGACCCTGTGCTTCCCTCGGATGCCAAGTTCCTGGGGTCGGGGCTAGGCTTCAGGCCTATTGGGAAGGGGTCGGGGGGCACAGGAAAAGAATTCCAGGAGTCGCTTGGGGGCAACATCCCCAGTGAGCAGTTCACCATCATCATTCTGACCTATGAGAGGGATGCCCTGCTGATGACATCACTGGAGAGGCTCATGGGATTGCCGTATCTAAATAAGGTAATAACATCACATCCCCTGAGCTGGCAATCATTTGATATTTTCATATCCAAAGATGTAAGTTTCCATGTACATGTAGTTGCAGGGTCACAGACTGTTGAAATTGCAGATGCAGGATTTAGCATGTGTGTATTTGTTTAAAAAGTCAGATTTTCTGCTACCTTTGGACAATTTACTTACATGTACATCCTGGTACAGATTAAGAGATTAGTGCTGTGGTACCACATTCATATGAAATTTGAATTCATTTGTGTATAAGACATGTAAAAAGAGGGAAACTATTGGTGTTTGTCTTGTCTTTCATCTAGGTTATAGTGGTGTGGAACTCTCCCAAGCCGGCAGCAGCAGACATCATCTGGCCAGAGATTCATGTCCCTATTAAGGTAGGGGATTATGATGATGATGTTGATCTCTAAAAGCTGAAGCTTGGGCAATGATTGTACCCTTTCTCAACTCTTGAGGGCACTTGGCATACATAAGAAAGTGCAATGAGCTTTGATGACAATTCAATCTGTTTATTTCTCTGCCTTTAGATGGCCCTTGTGGTCAGAACTGGTTCCTGGACAGAGAATGGCCAGGCATGAATCACCATTGGATGTGGGTGCCATAGTGTCCAACCTGACAAATAATGCCATTACAACTCTTTTTTGCCTGATGGACATATGGACGTCAGTGTTCCACTGGTTTCCAACCTACCTTGTTATCTCAATTGTTAATGCCGAAAATGAATAACTGACAGGGAACTGTGATCACCTCCCACCCAGACCATAAACTCCCACCCAGTTTTGACGGGAGAAGGCCTTAATTATGAAAAGAGCTGAGGCACTTTCTTAGATACCCTCTAAAAAAGGATCAATAGTTGCTAAAACTGAGGTTTTTATTTTTGACTATCTCAAAAAAGGTTGTCCGAACGAAGAAAAATAGCCTCAACAACCGTTTCCTTCCCTACGAAGAGATTGAGACAGAGGCCATTCTCTCTCTGGACGACGATGCACACCTCCGGCATGATGAGATTCTCTTTGGTTTCAGGTTAGATTTCAAAATGTCAATCTTTCCGTTTTCTTCTTTTTTTTTTCTGGGAAACATGAGCCCGCTAACAGTATCAAAGTGAATCCGAAGTTGCTGTAAATGCATTTCAGGCACGAGCCTACAGTTGTAGTCAGTAAAGTTCAGTGTTGTAAAAAGTCACTAAATTTGGTGACTCAAGTCAGCTCAAGTCATTTTAACATTGTGACTCCAGTCGAGTTGAGTCATTAGGTCAAGAAATCGAGTTGAGTCATCATGTAGTTAAGTTGACTCAAGTTAGGTACATGCACCAAGCACAAATTTTTGAACAAGATACAGCAAAAACACAACTACATGTACATATACTGGTAAGTCTATTTTTGGGTATATTTATTTTTATTTAGACATACTGAAAATAAATCATGTTGACAGGTATCTAGCCAAGTAAAATTTTTGCTTTTAATTATTTTGAGACTCAAGTCTTGTAAGCTTGTACTCGAGTCAAGTCCCCATGAGAGATTTGAGTGGAGTCATTTGGTTGCAGAGACTTGAGTCACTTACCTGTCAGGAGTTGAGGTGAGTCGCCAAAAAGTGTGACTCAAGTCAGACCGAGTTGAGTCATTAACTTGAGTCATTACAACTCTGGCGCAGTCTGTCAGCATTTCTTTCACATGTTGTTTGTGTGTATAGTACAATGCACAAAATACCAAATACGTCATAAGGACGATCTCAGAATGGTCTTTGTGGTTTGATTAACAAACATGTGAAAGAAATGCCATTAACCACTCCCTGCCGGGGATTCCAGATCTGGACATGTGTGCTTTATATGCATGGCCGGGGTCTCCGAACTCAGACAAAGGGAACAGGGCCTTGTAACAAAAGACCGGACTTGGAACAAAAGACAAGGCTGCTGGGCATTACCAACATTTTTTCACTCTCAAAAGTGGGGATAATCCAGCCTTGTTTTGAAACAGTATACCCCGGTTTGGTGCATTTAGAGTGAGCGGATTACCACCGGGTACAAAAGAGCTCCACCACCACAGCAATGAGCCACACAGCACCGCTGCATGCTAATCTGGCCCCTATTGAAAAGAGGTCAGCAACACACTGAGCCAGGTTCGTGAACAAAAGAAAGTTATATAACTTTTGTTCATTGTTCTTGTTACAAGGCTGCAGGCCTCCTGAAATACTCAGGCGTCAATAGATTTTGTCTGTCAGGCTAGAGGGGCCACCAGACAGTCCTTCACGTGTTTATAAGTGTCCAATAAATGAAGATAGGAATTTTTTAAGAATTTTGAAAACAGAAAAAAAGATAAATATCCCGGCCCAGCATCATCAACATTGATAACTGCCCCGGCAGGAAGTTTTTAAGACTTTCTTTAGGGAAACCAGATAAGACATTTCATCAGTCATCACCTTTGTTGTTCATTCACTGACTTTCTCTTTCATTGACTTCTAGCATGGTACCACTTTCTGTGTAAGTGCAAACGAGAATAAAGGAGAGCTTTTTGGCTTGTGACCAAATACTTGTACATTGTACATACAGCTAAAGCCGATTTCACACTGGACTTTTTTGGGTCAAACTTACTGAGACAAACGTTACTCTTCCCATTTTAAGTCCAGTGTGGACATCCCAGGAAGTTTTCATCATGTTTACTTTTACTGAGTTGCGCTGTCACTTCTACCGGCCAACTTCTGCCCAGGAAAACTTACCGAGACACTTTTCCGGAAAAGGAAAGTGTAGTGCCGACAGTGTGAGTCGGTAAAAGCATGAGGAAAAAAGTGGCCTAGTCGAGCGTACGTCCGGCCTGAGAACAACGGCATGCTACATACAGGGAAACTATGCATGCGCTTTGCATGTTTCACAGCGGTATGGCATATGGTGAATGTTTTTCCTGTAAATATTTTCCTCTTGTGGTCGCAATCATGGCAGAAATTGTTGACACCGTTGATAGATTAACAGGTGCTAAGAGTGCACCGTTTCCAGATGATAATGAGGAAGGTAATGTGTCTAAGGGCAAAAAGAAATGCAGAAAGGTCATGCAAAGCGCCCTCATAAGTCATAGCATTGCCAGCTCGGTTACTTTTCCCACGGTCTCGGTAAAATTTTCCTGTGTTGAAAGTCCAAGTGTGGACAGTGGTCGCATTTGACCTTTTTTTTATTTGGCCATCAGCTCAGTAAACCCTTATGGAAAAGAAGTCCAGTGTGAACACAGCTTAAGAAGGGTCTCAATTTATACCATTATTTCAGTAATAGTGAAACATGATTACTCAAATGCTCTGATGACACTAGAGGACAGAAGACTGATGAAAACTGCAAAGAAAAGACATACTTCGGGCGTACATGAAAACATAGCGAATTTGACATGGTGACTCATTTATGCCAAACTTTGCTTGATTTGAAATGTATTTTGCTTTGTGAATTTGCACCGTGAGGTTTTTTATCTGATGCCACAGTTTCGCAGTGCCTTTCATTTTCATGCCAATTGTAAACCGGCTTTTAAGAGGTTGGGGGAGATCCACATGTGCATAATATAACCATGGGAGAAAAATCCACAGGATATTCCAGGGACTGGAAAACCCAATCTACTCGTGGGCAAGGGTTGGGATTCGAACCTGGGTCTACAGAGATAGAAGGCAAACAGAGAGTACCACTGCATCGACCTTACTCACCTTGCGCCAACTGGGTTCCTGACAGTGACCATTCTGAGCAATCCTGTTTGATTTTTTTGCAGAGTTTGGCGGGAAAAGAGAGACCAGATTGTGGGTTTTCCTGGCCGTTACCATGCATGGGACATCAACCACAATAATGGCTTCCTGTACAACTCCAACTACTCATGCGAGCTCTCCATGGTGCTAACTGGTGCAGCTTTCTTTCACAAGGTAGACCTTTCAGAATCAGGAATGACGTTTTTCAACACGACTGCTGACAATGCATGTGCAGTGCACCCTTTTTACCAAGCAACGTTTGCGTGCATGCATATCTTTAGGTTATTTTCACAGTTCTTTTAGGCCATGACACATTCTTTTCTGACTGTAATACAAAAAAGTAACACCTTCCAGGTTACTTCTAGCTGGCAGTGGCATGGATTTGACTGACCCACTATGCCAGCCACGAGTTATCTCATGTACTTTACTACAAGATAAGTCGTACAGTGTACATATGCCTTAGCAGTGGCAATAAGCTGACCGTCTCATTGCACCAGCTACAAGTTATCTTGTACAAGATTACCAGGGGAGAGCTCATACTGTACCTTGGCAGTGGTACTTTTTCAACAGTTATAGTGTATTAAATTAATTTTTTTCTTAATTACTATTCAAAACCCATTTATTTACCACAAGTATTCTCATACAATTTCCAGCACAAGTATTCTCATACAATTTCCAGCACAAGTATTCTCATACAATTTCCAGCACAAGTATTCTCATACAATTTCCAGCACAAGTATTCTCATACAATTTCCAGCACGATCATCACTGTGAATAGTTTTGTAGTCAAGGGAATCCTCATTTTGACTCCCCAAATTCAACCTGGACTGGATTCAAACCTTAGACATGCGGAGCAGAGTGTTGCTGCTGCAGCCTTCCATGCTATCCAGCCCCCGTGCCTGCAAAGGCATGAGGGCTGTTCACATGAGCCTCTGTTGCTCATGCAATGCTGTGCCATTCGAGAGGTCACAGATTCACATCCTGTTCCAAGCATCTTTGGGGGGTCCAACAGAAAACTCAGACTATTAAAATCAGTCGCATTGCTTTCATGCAAAAAAGGTCATTAAACAAGGAATTGGTCACTATTACCCATATAGTAATGACTAATGTTGCTGCTTCTCTTCGCATTTATAAAAAAAAAAGTCATTTGGGGAGTTCATTTCCACCGCGAGAATGCTCATAGTAAAAGAAACTGCATTGATGAGGGCGGCAAACAAATAATGCAATTTGATGATGTCATAATACAGCTCGTTCCCCCAGAGTATCTTGACCTTGTGGCCATGATAGGGGGCTTTAGAGGACAAAAACCAGAGAAAAGACGGGTAAAGTAACCCCTGTTTCAGACAGGCATTCTAGAGTTGCACCAAACCAAATTAAAAGCAAATTTTGAATTAAGTACGGCATAAGTTTGACGTCTGAAACAGTTAGGAGCGATGAGGTGTGCTAGCAGGTGAAAGATCAACACTGGAAGGCGCTCGGAACGACACCGGAGCAACTTCGTTCAGACGTTGGCCTTTTCATTGGCTGAACCCAATGTAACTCTATGTATACAGTTCGCCTGTCTGAAACCAAAATTTAATTGGTCGACCTGAGTTGCTCTTCTTTCTATTTGGTTTGGTGCAACCCTAGAACGCCTGACTGAAACTGGTGTAAGTTAAGGTAGATGTCATTCTCGGCATATTGGCCACGGCCATCAGCCTGAAATTCATCAGGACCTTACTTCGGTTCAAATTCAGACAGTTCAACTTTATCATATGATCCAGTGTTGACATCACATTGATTTGCCTGATCAGCATTGTAGATGTACAATGTAAAAGCAACTCCAAGTCGCTCTCATTGTCCAACCTCTTTTGATGTACAGTTAAGTTGGAGAAAGCACAGCACTCACGCACGTAAGTGCGCTCACCCTGGAATAGTGAAACAGTCTTATAAGTTCAAAGCTGTAGTGTGACGTCATCAAAACAGGCCTCTATTGGATGCTTCTGAAGACTTCTGTTTATATTTCGCTTGATTTGAAGAAGAATTTCAACTCTTGCTTTTTATATCAATAGTAGTGTTTATTTAACACTACTTAGTTTTTTATATAACAGATTGTTTTAAATTTAACTAAATTTCGTAACAAGTGAAACTGTGAATTACCAATGTGACTAATCTTTAACCCCCTCACGACAGGATTATTTTGACTGCGACTGCTGGGCTGTGGTACGCCCCAAATGGAGGGCTTTGTCCAGCAGCAGGCCCCATTGAACCAGCAGCTGCATGGTGAATAGACTGTATGTGTGGGTATGCACTAATCCTCACACAATGGTGCGGTAGTAGCAGTCCTCTGTAGCGAAGGGGTTAAAGACCCCTTGCCCCATGGTTCTACATGTAGACATTAGATTTGAGCTCCTTTTATAACCAGCCCTTTTGATGTTACTGTTGCTTTGCAGTATTACGCCTATCTCTACAGTTACGTCATGCCACAGGTTATCCGTGACAAAGTTGATGAGTACATGAACTGCGAGGACATCGCTATGAACTTCCTGGTGTCCCACATCACAAGGAAGCCTCCAATTAAGGTAATGGGCTGGGTCATCGGGCAGGGTACCGGGGAAGTTGCATACTGAACTGTGATTGGTTTAACAAAAGAACACTGGTCTTTAACTGTATATAAATTTGGTAACAGAGTGGCTGTGCACTTACAATTCACATCGAAGCAGTTCTCAAGCATGCGCTCTCAAGCATATTTGCCCAAGCCGGGTCGTTACACACACCAATAATGCACAAGTACAAGTCATTATGTTCTTGTTGCATTCTTGTATAACTGATGAAGCCCATGACTGTTTCAACAGTAGGCATTGAGTCTTTGCGTGGTAGTCATCTTGCAGGACAGTTCTTTCATTCCCATAGGGGAAACCTCTTTTGTGCATAATCTGTTCGACAAACACACTGGCCTGCAAGATGGCAGCCATGCAAACCGTCTGTTCCACGGGGGATAGTAATGAATCCCATCTGCCCTCAGAATGTGATGCTGGCTCTCACATTCTGTGGCAGACGGCAGCCCTTGTTCCAATTGCAAATATTGACAATGCAAAAATATTCGTGGGGAAATTTGCCAAAGTTAAAATGAGTGTATGTTCCACATTTGTTTGTTTATGTTTCACAAATTTGCATCTACCAGTGGTGAGGCTGAGCCAACTCCAAACGTGGTATGCAGTCCTTTGCTATTAGTCAAAGTCCCTGCAATTTTCTTTACTTTTTTGTTTTGTTTTTGGAATTCGCCAGGTGACTTCTCGTTGGACCTTCCGTTGCCCCTCCTGCCCTGAAGCACTGTCGCAGGACGACTCCCACTTCAAGGAACGCCACCGATGCATCCATTTCTTCAATCAGGTGTACGGCTACATCCCACTCCTCTACACGCAATTCAGGGTGGACTCGGTGCTGTTCAAGACGCGAGTGCCCCATGACAAGCAGAAGTGTTTCAAATTTGTTTAGTATTTGGGACTCGAGCTTCCTAACACCTTGGCTGACAGGATTGCAAAGAACCCAACCCTTTGTCTGCCTGCTGTTGTGCCCCAGTATTGCTATTTACTTCGAACAACGCGCTGGTAGCTTCATTTCAGTCAGTCCACTTGCAACAGCAACAGGGAGAAGTGTTTTGAAATTTTTTCAGCGATTGGGAGTCAAACCCCAACCCATCCCCTGGCTATTCAGATTGTAGAGGTGTCAACCTTTTGGTCACATGATGTACCATTTTTTCTGATGGTCGCTGTGCAGCGATGACAAACACAATAATTCCACCAACCTGCATCATGGCCTAAGGGGATTTCAGAAGCCCCAACCATTTGAGGTGTTCTTTTAACTTTTTGCCAGATTAACACCTAATACATTGCACTAGTGCCAAATGCGGGGGTGTGAGAGCTCAGCTTTTGAGCAAAATTCAGCATTTATTGTTCAGATTTTTACCCCGAATTCGCAGCTTTTTCTTGTACACCTGCTCTGTACAAATCTTCTGTGAGAAATCTTTAAATTCAAGCTTTTAGCTAGCCTTTTCCACTTTTTTCCGTATGTGGCCTGCCACACCCCCCCTGAAAATGTACTCCTAAAATGGTGCACTTGGTATTAAAACGAAATGCAGAATCACGTCTGCATTTCATTTAATACTTAATGCAATAAACGTTGTAATGTCCCATCAGATTGTGCAAAATCAGATATGTCTTGTGTATTTATCTCTGTTGTGAAATAGTCACAGAGTGTTTATTAATGACCAAAGATACTGTGTAGCATAAGCGGAGAATTCTCTTGCCATTTTGGAGGAATGAAGGGGAATGTCTGTAAATTTGATATATTGAAATATATGTATATTTTCTATAGTGATACCACTGCCCTCCACAGTTTCCTTCGTTGCTGATCAATCAATCTTATTGTGACTGCTCTTTTGATTGTATTTGTAAGTTGAATAAAAATGTTAATCACCATTTTATCCATGCTAGAAAGCTGCATGCTAATTTCAATTTTCCAGTCACACTTTCATGTTGGGACATATTATACCAGTCTAGTATTAAGTAGTGGCGTAACTGGGCTAAACATCAAGGAGATCCTGGAATGCACTATTTTTCGGGGAGGGGGGAGCACTTAAAGGGTACTAACTTGTACATAGTTTGTACGCAGGCAGTGTACATTTTGTAATTTCAAAGGGGGGCTGGACCTTTGCCAGGGGAAAATTAATTCCCCCCCTTACGCTACTGGTGTTGAGCTTCAAACTGAAATCACTTAACTTTTAGCTACACAAACTCCCCTAACATAATGATTGGGACCTCTAATTTGGCTGTGAAACTCTGAAGACCTTGTCATTGCCTCTTACAAAATGAGGAGCGTTTTGTCAGCAAACCAATACAGTAAAATTAACTTTCCTTTGGCTATTCTGGGTTTTTCCTTGGAGTCTTCTAAATTTTATCTTGACGTCAAGGCAAACTTCAGAAGAATGTGGTTATAGCTTAGTTTATCCACCAGATGCATTAGCATCAAAGGTCATGTTTTCATGCCAGTGGTGACATTTCTTTTTGGGGGCACTGGCACACATTATTGTAAGGTAGTTTGAAGGAAAGTAAACTGCAGCTTGTGCAATGTATACATGAACATGTGGGCTGTACATGTACATGTAGGTTGTTTATATTTCAAAATTTCCAGGCAAGGAACCAATGGGGCACATCCCCCCCTCCAGTTCATTTTCACTCATATTTACTTTCATAAGGATTACCTTATCCTCATTTGTGCGTTTTTTTCAGCAACAACAAATCCTGTTTTCATTTTGTTTGTTTTTCTCTTTTTTGATTCTGCATAACATACTAATATCAAACGTGAAAACTGTTCGAGTCTATTATTACACTCTCACAAGAAGCTCTTGTGTGTCTGAAAGAGAATCTCGTAGTTATGTTAATCTGTGTCGGAATCATGTAAATTTACGCTAATCTTGCAGCAGAAAATAAGTTGCAAGTCTATGAGTTCAAGAAGTCTTGCAGTTCTTGTAATTCTGGTAATGATATCAGAATAGGTTTCTGGAAAGCTTCACATTAAGATGCTTTTGTGAGCGGTGATAAGCCTGAAAAAACATATTTGGTATATATATACATGTATATATATAAGACCCAGATTTCTCTTTGTAAAATTGGTTATTTATTTGCCCCTTTATAAATAAACAGTAAATGCATGGTTATACATGCACTAATCAGGAGTTCATTTGTTGTTCATATAAGCAGTCATTGGAAGAAATTTATTATTGCATGGCTGAAAACGTGCATTCCTGGTGTCAGGACCCCCCCTTTAATTCCTTGTGGTTTGTCTCCTCTCTCTCAGTTCTTTGTTTTAGGCCTACACAGCTTTCTTCAGAGTTCTGTTTATTATTCCCCCTCCCTTTGTGTTTCCCCACTGTGCCTTATTTGTTTGTGAGTCCCACTTTGGCCCAACCTAGTAACTGTTAACATTTTAGGAGAGCCTCTAGACAGCGATTAAGTCTGCTTTTTTGGCAATCCTTCAGGGGTGTTATCACGGTTTTTGTTTTTTTTTTAATCTTTTTGTGGTGTTAATTTATCTTTCAGTGTATTTGTGTGTTGTTCCCTGAGAAATAATAAATAAATAAAAGAAAAAATAAAAGGAGCTAGACAATGCGGATTAGTATACATGTTTACATGAAGCTGGCAATGAGCTTAGTCAGGGACGTCTACATGTATTGCCCCCCCCCACTCGGACTGTAAACTGCTACGAGAACGGGGGCCAATTTGAGGAAATAAGCCCCTGTTCTGGTAACTTACTGGCCCGATAGATCTGGAGCTCGTGCCCAGTCCACTTGTGGTTTATAGCACACCTCCGTCCAAAAACATAAAAACGAGAAACTTTAGGGCTTAGGAGGGCGTTGGAACCAGTCAAACGAAATTGAGTATTTAGTGTTTGAACGGGCACTGTCTGGTTTGTGATACACTCATACACACATTGGATGAACACTCAATCTGCTTTTACCTCCGGTTCCAGTGCTACTCGAGAACTGTTCTTTGCTACATCCCAAGCGAAGAGTTTGCCAACCTACATGTATGGCCGGCTGCCAGTAGCGTCCTCGCACAACCAGTTTTTACTTGGGCTGCATCCGAATCTCTCGGTCTAGGTCTTCACTCAATCAGAAATGCATGAGACTCGTGGACAATAGACCTAGCCGTAGCTCTGGAAGCCCGTTTCGGACACGCTGGCGCATTGTCTAATTATGAGTCGTAAGGGGGCGCATTATGCACGGTGTCCGTTATCAAGCACTAATGTCTTGAAACCAAGACTACGCTGCAAGCAGCGTAGGGGGTGCTGCACCCCCCATAATTCTTTTCAGTCGGCAAATAAAGGGTCAGTCGGCAAATGAAACTGAAATTGACGTCATGAATTATTGACGTACATCGACCAGTCGACAAACTGACCCTGGCACACAACCCCAAAGAAAATGCCTTCGCTACGCCGCTGATATTGGCTGCCATGGCATCAGACTGCTGAAATCTCCACGGCTGCGCTTCTGCACCAATAATATTTCCGTTTCCGTACGCGAAGACAGCTTGACAGAAAAGCCACACCACAAATTCATTCATCCCTCAAAATACCAAGTTGGCAGGGTATTACAAGTAAATCATGCTGAAAAAAGTACTAGTATAGATCCTTGAACTTAAAATTATACAATTCGAAGAAGCAGGCCAGCACACCTACAATATATGTGTTTCGTTTTGCAAAAATAATGAAGACAAGGGAAGAACTCTCCATGTGGGCTGTTCCTCATTTCAGTCGACGTGGGCTTTCCCCTTTATCGTCAAATCATTCATCATCAGTTGCCCCTACAGCATAAAATTTTTTAAAAAGGTCGTCTGTTAATTAAGGGCGCTTCTAGAATCACTTTGCGGTTTTCTGTCACCCTTGATGTTAGCTCTGGGAGCAAGTTTTATCAATGGGCTAGTTCTCCAGACTACATTTGATTTACTCATCCTCGACCTCTCGGTGTAAGAAATATCTTAACTACCAGGTACTTTTCTTCTGCTTAATTTTTCAGCACAGAGTATAATAATGCAGTATACACGGTTTTTTTTCATCCCAGATTCCCTCATGGAGACCCAAAGCGGTTGCAGATTTGGCTGCAAAGAATGAAACCTACTAACTACCAAGGTTCTAGTAATACTGCAGCGGACCACTTGTACTACACTGAATGCTCTGTAGTGAACGGGAAGAGCCATGAACTATTATACCAAAGCGCTAACTTGCTGCGCAAAGTGAAGCCCATGGGTCGCATCCATGTTTTTGCATGAAGTAATGGAAAATTTGAAATGTGTACAGCTTTTGTACGGCTATTAGTTTGAATAATCATGCGTCTGTATTCCAAATTGGTGCGTCAACAAAGCTGAACCAAAACCCTGATGAACGCACAACCATTGAGTGGTTTAGTTTTGCTCGTTGCAAGCAACGCAAACACGGAGGTGTAAGTTAGCTACTTGTTCCTCGTTTGACGTTCGACATACAATGTTGAACAAGTGACTGGTTGATATTCAACGTTAAATAGTAACCGTTTGACATTTGGCGACCGCTTAAGATGCACTTACCTAGAAACTATGGAGTGCAAAATGGACAAAAAACAAACTTGCACCATTAACAAGGACTTGACCACAAAAAAACCCATGCCTCTGCGGGTTGCAAGGAGTCGTCACTGATTTAGAACAATGATCATGTAATCTCCGGGGGGCGAAGGGTTTGGGTATTTTATTTGAGAAAAGTTTGATGTGATGCATTCACTTTCCTACTCTGGTTTGCAAGCGCAGAACTCCACCGACAAGACTTGTCAAAGCTGTTGTCACGGTGGAAAACTGCGTTGCCCTGATTGAAATGGAGGCAGCGGGGTCGCTAAAGTGTACAGAAAAACTTTGAAAATGAGTTTAGACCCGAGGCGTGGGCTTGATATATACTATTTCGATTGACTGAAATAGTTTCGATGAAAACAGCAGGTACAATCGACAGGTTTTCCAACAAATAATTGTATTGCTGTAAAAAACACCCATTCCCTACATTTCAGGGCTTGTTTGACCCCGAAAAACCCATGCCCGAGTTGCCCCTGTAGGAGATAGTTATGTGCGTATATACATCATTGTGAAATGACAAGGTACAGGTGAATGGTTGGGCATGGTGGTGCATTTTTTTTAGTCCCCCTTTGCGCTCAATCATTTCTAGAGGTGTGCATCCTGAATATCAAACGGTTACTTATTCAACGTTGGAATATCACACGGTTATTTGTTCAACATTGAATGTCGAACGAGGAACGAACCTCGCATCAGTCGCAAACGCGCGCGTTTTGCGCGTTGAATATCCGCCTCGAGTAGAAGTGCCACTTCATCGGTTGAAACGATAATGATCCCTGGAGAGTGTCCATTTTATTGATCGTGTCGCGGGGAAGCTGACACCTTTTGTGGCAATACCAGTAGACGGGCCTGATTGGAAATGGAATTGGACCTTGCCACATATTTATTAACCTTGCACAAGGATGGGCGGCTACCCAGACGCAAGGGGGATATTATAGTTAACGAACGGTAGACTAAGCCTAGGGGCTGTTGGTTTTGGTGGATATATACCGCCGATCTGCAATTATGTAATTGATTCGAATGACAACAGAGTTGTATTAAGTATTATTGATTGCAATTCACCAGGAATCCCAATTATTTTTACAGTGACAGATTTTTCTGAATGATAATTAAATTATTTATTACAGCTTGGAAGCTCGAAGAGGATGAATTATGTACAAAGGATCCTCACTTATAATAATCCTCACGCGTGGTCAACTGTACCACGAACTTACAAAAAGTGATCCTCCGTGGTCAACTAGTACTGTACCACGAACTTACGACAAAAGATCCTCCCGTGGTCGACTGCAAGTAATCCTTAACCAGGCTGACCCTTACAACAACCAAGGAAACCCTTTAACACTTCACGTTACTCTTATACACAGAATAACACGGGGTCTTTACGGGAGTTTCACAATAGCGATTTTGCAACGCGTTGGCCAATCATAATTTTTGAAGTCTGGCAACCTAATGCGCGTTTGGAAAGGGTCGACAGATTTCACGCGTTGTGATCGGCCAACGCGTTGCAAAGTCTTGGAGGCGCACTATTACGAATCACCCGTATCAAGAAGGCAATTATAAAAATCCTCACAAACTACGACCAGTAAACCTCAACAGGGAGAGCAAGCTCACGGACCAGGGCCGCACTCGACCGCAGCTACGCCAACAGGAATGGAACAAACGGCACACAATCCCTTCAAGTCTCACAATCGCTGATTCTCCAAATGACTGGTTCACCCGGTTCCCCGTAACATAATCCAACACTTCTTAAAGAATTTGGACTGTCTCTTAACAATTCCCCCCAAATCTCAAATTAAATCTTACTAAAAAGCGAGGTAATTACTAACTATGAGCGAGCCAGTTTCCATGAAGTTGTGTGCACTTGCAAGCCACGGCCAAGTGATTCAGACGCGGCTTAAGCTGCGGCTGCAAGACAAAAAGTAGATACTAGGTTGCAGCCTTATCCTTACTCCTTACACCAATGTGATGAGATTAGAAACGGCGGTATTTGCTTGTATTTTTCAATGAGTCGAAAATAAAACTTAGGTCTTGATTCCGCAACTGACTCCTAACTCCGTAATGTGATGCCGATTAATAAAGTGTATGAATAAACGTACAGTTATTGGCGTAAATAGCCCGAGTTGCTGAAAGCGCCATTAACACAAAACAACAAGAAGCGTACCAGTTCCTTTGTAGTCAGTCCCATGTGCTGTATTAGTTCCAGCGCCGTCCTGGTCAGTTGAGTTGCCATATGGTTTTCTTTACTGCTCCCACCGGGAAGAACTACCAGGCCCTACCTGTAAGTAAGCGACTTAATACCGGGGGGGTATTTAGACTTAATAAAATCATCTGGGGACGAGTTTATACGGGGAACTCCATCCACGGGGCGGTAGTCTTACGAGGGGATTTGGTGGATGTAAAACAAGTTGTGCTCGTAGCCTTCACCCGTATAGGGATCGAGACCTGTATAGGACCAAGATCTGACTAGGAGATTGCCAGGGCCTGTGGAGGTCGCGTAATAAGTAGCGCCTGGAGAGGTGTGAATAATTATTAAACCAGAGTCATCTTAGGCAGACGTGTCCGTTTGTGTCTGTGGTGCTCC